ATTCATAATAATCATAATAATCATAATAGTTAATTTTAGTAAGAGTTTTACGGCACTCGCAACACAATAAGGTCATATAAGTGCCGAAGATAAGAGGTGTTTCTAAGAGAGTAACAAACACAAAATAGAAGGAGGGGAGAAAAGGACGACATATGTTTGATAGGAAAGAAGGAGCACCCGCCAACCACCCACAATAATAATAATAACAATAATAATAATGATAAATGACATTTACATAGCGCTCAACCCCAATTAAAGTACACCGGCTCTGAGCACTTTACAATACAATACTGTGAACAACAGTAACATAAAACTTTGTGTTCTGACCAAAAGAAATAAACAAATAAATAAATAAACATATGAATGAATGAATGAATGAAAGAACGAATTTATTAAAAACAGATAAAATAAAATAAAAAATAAAAGGAAACCTCATGACCAAATACAAAAAATAAATAGGGGCCTACAGTTCTATTTGCCACTTTTACAGTGCACTATTTCTGAACTAAGCTCAAAAGTGTCTTTCTCAATGCTGCATCAAAGAGACCACCTAGATGAGCACCATGTCACGAGACAGAAAAAAAACATACATTTAGGACATTAGATTATATTAGAATAGCACTTATTCATTTATTTACATATAAGGTGCTAGTAACAAATTGTGAAGCGTGCTGACAAAATGAGTTACTTCTCCGATTCTAGTCCTATGGAAATGGACACATCACGCTTTAGGTGAAATTTTTACAGTTTATAAGTAAGTTTGAAATAATAAAAAACATGGTATACTTAGAGAATATGACATCAAAAGAAAATCTACAAATTGGATCCAAGTGTCAATTTGTGGCCAATATCTCCATTTGTGGATTGTGAGAAGTAACTCATTTTGTCAGCATGCCTCACAAAATACCAAAAATAAAAAATAAAAATACAGTTCTATTTCCCACTTGACTGTGCACTGTTTCTGAACTAAGCTCAAAGTGTCTTTCTCAATGATGCATCAAAAAGACCACATAAATTAACACTGTGTCACGAAACAAAAAAACAAAATACATATAGGGCATAAGATAAGATTAGCACTTATTTATTTATATTTTATATTTACACATGAGGTGTCAGTAAAAAAATATCTGTATTACAGCATTCGTATATTCTTACGTATTTTTTGGCGTCCTTGCTGAAAAACTGGTCGACATACATGCGGCTGACAGCCTCTGGGAAGATGGATGTGGCTTCATTGGCACAACGCTCCCACCTTGGTGCTGGTTCTATGCCTAATACGGCCTGAAAGTGGTCAGAAATATTAACAACTGGTAAGAAAATGGCCACAGGTCTCTGGGAACATCTCAGAGCTAATAAAAACCTCACTAATGAAATAATATGTTCTTTTGATTTGTGTCCTTTCAAAGATATCCTCAATTTTAAAAAAGAATATTATCAGCAAGCTCTTGAAATGTATAAAGCCCAGAAAGCAACATTCTTCAGGTAACAGAAAAAAACCAAAACTGTTTCATTCTTTCAACTATTAATTCTATCTACTTTGCACATTTTTTTTTTGCTTTTTCAACATTTAGAATTTGAATTAGGGCAAATATTTCTTGAGCACGTGCAATTGATACCACTAATTAAGAAACTGCAATTTTTTAAATAAAAATTTTGTGTGGCTTATTTCATCTTAACAGCTTGCTGAAGATGTACATTGTATTCATTTGATCTTATTATGTCATACATATTGCATTGCTAGCATCACAACTTATCTCTTCTTGCTTTACTTTTATTAAAGCATGCTCCCACTAATTATATTCTTCGGCATGCCAATGACTCAACATCACATTAAACTGTGAGCTGAGAACCTTACCAAATCATTGAGGAAGAAGAAGTGATGACTTTTCCTCTTTTCAAACTTGTCACTTCACAACATATAGACGAGTAGAAATTATTATTCATATTAATATTATCATTCCACTTCTTCTTCATCATCTTATTTTTCTACTCCACTTTCTTCTTCTTCTTCTTCTTCTTCTTCTTCTTTCTTCTTCTTCTTCTTCTTCTTCTTCTTCTTCTTCTTC